AGCCTGGCACTCAACATCATGGCTTGACCATTGTATATGCAACAGTGATGGTCTTGGCAGTTATGATGGCATGCAGTTCAGATATTGATTTGGATAAAAATCTGACCACATGCCACTTGTTATTAAATGTAACCTGGGTAGTGTTCCCTTGATTACTTCTTAGGGCCGTCTGTATATACGAGAGAGTGGAATTGTCTAAGCTTACTGTGAGGACATCTGCCCTCCCTTATGCATATACTCGGAGACACAGTTTATCTTGGACATAGGATTCTGCGAGGGATGCTATTTTATGCAGTGATAGGCACTGTACAAATCATGAACATTCTACCAACTGGATTTGTTTTATTGTAAAATTCTGGAAGCCTTATCAAGTTCTGGGAAACCCATGTCAAAACAAGATACGCTCCCCCTGTGGAAAGCCCGGTTGGAATAGGCACTAGGTGGAGGCTCATGCTGAGGCCACGTGCTGCATTCAGCAAAGTTGGGTGGATGCAGCGGAGATGCAGGTGGGGTCCTCTGTTTGAAAAACAAGAAATATGCAAATGCAAGATACAAATACAGTCTGAGGATACATAAAAAAGATGACAGCGTCTTAGGGTGAATCTCTGGCATCTAAGCTCCAAGGACAACCCTGCAGATGACTTTTGGAAGGTGATAAGAATGATGAAGTACAGCAACACTCCCTCCCGTCGGTTGTGGATGGGAGTGAGTGCTCTCAAAATATTTGTCAATTATGGAAAGAATTTTACTTTGTCTCTTTATTGTATTAAGGGAATGCTCCCATTGTAGGTTCTATTTTAAACAATGCAGGTGCAATGTAACGCCACAAGTGGTTTTTATGTTGTCCACAAACTTCTAAGTAAAAGTCATGTGGCTCAGATTATATCACATTGAACACCTCAAATTTGCAAGTAGGAATATGTACCCTCTGCTGGCCCTGTGTTTCACTGGTTCATGGTTCATGGTAGTCTGCCGGAATCTCTTCTGTCCAGTTCTGCTGGTCACTGTTATAAAGACAAGCGGAAAATGACTAGCTCAGCAATATCGTCCTATAGCTTTGCTAGCATCGTTTCCAAAGTTGCTTGAGTCCTGTGATTTAAATCGACTTGAACCTTTTTTAAGTACAAACTTTGAACCAGTTTGGTTTTAAATCTGGCATGGTTACCGACACTTGTATTTTTGTATGAAGGAACTTTTAGTAAATTATCATTGTCAGGGCTCTACATTTGTTGGTGTGTTTTCTAGATGCCTCCCAAGGCTTTTGATGAAGTGATCATTGTGAAATGGTTTTTGAAACTGTCAAAGCGTGGAGTTCCTGGTATCTGATCAGGACTGCTTATTTTTTGGTATTCGGAGCAGACCATTCAGGGTGAAATGGGGGGAGGCTCTTTCTGACTCCTTCAGAGTCTCTAATGGGGTTCGTCAGGGAGGGATTCTCGCTACCATCGTTGTTTAATGTGATACATGGATGACCTTCGGTGAAAACTGATCACTGTACCACAGGATGCAGTGTTGGTTACAAGCAGATATAATCACCTCATGTCCGCAGTCGATCGGGTGGTGTGCAGTCCCTGCAGTGCTGGTCTTCAGCAACTACTTAATGTTTGCTCTCAATTTTGGTTTGGATCATTAATATGCAAATATAACGCTGCCAAAAAAAAAAAAACCCTGGGTAATGATGCGCGTACATAAAGATGCCAGAAAATTATGTTTTCACTGATTTTTTCCTTTCGGAACCTTTGGAATCTGCAGATGAGGTGAAATTACCACGGTCACTACATCACCAGTGACCTTTCTGATGACAAGGACATGCACAGGCAGCTGTGTCAGTTATATGGCCAATCAATATTGCTGCGGGGGTTAGTAAGTTTAGTATGTTGCTTCTCTGAGGTAAAGGTAAATCTACTTTTTAAATCTTACTGCTCACCTATGTACACTGCTTACTTTGGAAGAGTTTTAAAAAGTCCAGTTTGCAGAAACTCAACTGTGGCTATAACAACTTCCTTGAGGCTGCTGCTGAATGTCCTCGGCACAGCAGCGCAAGTTGAGATGTTTGCTTTCTGTGGTGTTCGATCTTGTTCTGCATATCTCGAAAATGTGCAGTTCAGATTTTTGTGTCGTATGAGGAACTCTATTAATGGGATTGTTAAGGACTATCGTCAGCCCCGAGTTCTGCTCATGCTGTTCACCTCCAAATTATGGTACTTAATGGAGGTTTTGACTTTATATGTTTCAGCAGCTGTAATGTTCTCTTTTTGTTTTGGTTTCTTGTATATATTTTTTCTTTTGGTTATTTAACTATGGACCGTGTTTGTATTGTGTCCTTAATAAAGATTTAATAAATATTAAGGACACAAGACAACACGGTACATGTTAAAAACCAAAGAAAAAATATATACAATAAAACAAAACAAAAGAGAACATTACAGCTGTAAACAGTATAAGGCAATACCTCCAGTAAGTCACATAAATTTGGAGGTGAAACAGCAGTGAGCTGAACTCGGGGCTGACGAAGAGTTTAACATTCCATTAATAGAGTTCCTCAGACGACACATAAATCTGAACTGAACATTTTCGAAGAGATGCAGACATTGATCGACAACACAGTTAAGCAAACATCTCACTTGCGTGCTGAGTGCGCCGAGGAACCTTCAAGCAGCAGCCTCAATGTGTTGTTTATAGGCCCACAGTGTGTTTCTGCAAAACTGGACTTTTAAAACTCTTCCAAAGGTTAAGCAGTGTACATAGCGTGAGCAGTAAAGATTTAAAAAGAGTTACCTTTTACCTCAGGAGAGCACATTACTAAACTTCGTCGCCAGCATATTTGAATTGGCCATATAACTGACACAGCTGCTGTGCATGTCCTTGTCATCAGAAAGGTCACTAGGTGATGTAGAGACCGAGGTATTTCACTCTCTGCAGATTCCAAAATGTTTCCGTAAGGATAAAATCAGGGAAAACATTATTCAATGCTCATCTTTGTACGCGCAATCATTACCAGGCTTTTTGCAGCGTTATAGTTGATATTATGATCCAAATCCATATGAGAGCACACATTAAGTAGTTTGCTTGAAGACCAGACTGCTGGGAGCCTGAACACCACCAGATGTCTGCTGTTCTGAGGTGATTATATCTGACTGTAACCACACTGCAGCTGTGGTTACAGGTGTTCTGGTGCACGACAGGTATCCATTGTACACATTAAAACAAAATGGAGAAGAGGAATCCCTCATGACGAACCCAATTAGAGACTCTGAAGGTTGTCAGTAAGAGCCTCCCCCATTTCACCTGCATGGGTCTGTACGATTACCAAAAAATAAGCAGTTGATCTGTTCCCAGGAACTCCACGCTTTGACAGTTTCAAAAACAATTTCTCTGATAAATTATGTCAAAAAGCCTTGGAGGCATCTAGAAAAACACCACAAACTTTTTGTAGGAGCCCTGACAATGATATTTATACTAAAGTTCCTTCAGTTTACAAAATACAAGGGTCTGTACCCATGGCCAGAATTTATAGAACAAACTGGTCTTAAAAGTTGTACTTAAAAAAGGTTCAAGTCTATTTAAATTACTCAGTCTCAATGAACTTTGGACAACGATGCTTAGCCAAGCTATTGGACGATAAGTTAGCTGTGATTAGTTCAGTTGTCTCCTGCTTTGTTCTTTAATAACAGGACCAGCAGAGAGAACTGACAGGGAAGTGATTCAGGCAGACTACCTTTGTACCATGAAATCCAGTGAAACACAGGGCCAGCAGAGTGGTTCAGTATTCTACTTGCAAATTTGAGTGTTCAGATGTGATATTATCTGTCGCCTCATGACTTTTTACTTTTTGAGTTGTCGGACAAACATTAAAAAACCTCTCTTGTGGCGCGTTACTATTGAACACTGCATTGTTATAAAATAGAACTACAAATGGGAGAGATGCTGTTCCCTTATACAATTTAAGAGATCAAAGTAAAATTCTTTCCATAATTGTCAAATATTTTGTGAGCCACCCTCCTTCCACAACCGATGCGGAGGGAGGGTTGCTGTTACTCTTATTCTTATCTACTTCCAAAAGTCACTGCAGGTGTTTGTCTTGGAGCTTAGATGCCTAGAGATTCAGCCCTAAGACGCTGTTCATTCTTTTTTATGTACCTCAGACTGTTTTTGGATCTTGCATTTTGCTTATTTCTTGTTTGCAAACAGAGAGGTCACTCCTGCTCTCCTGCATCCCAAACCAAATGGGGGGGGGGGTTTTGAATGCGCAGGGCCTCAGCCATGAGCCTCACCTACGTGCCTATTCATACCGGCTTTCATCAGGGGGAGAGTTTTCTGTTTTGACAGGGTTTCCCAGAACTTATAAGGGCTTCAGAATTTTACAATAAAACCTATCCCGGCTTGGGTTGAATGTTCATGATTGTTATGTTCATATCCACCGGCATAAAATAGCATCCCTCGGCAGATCAATATGTACCAAGATTAAAATGTGTTCTCGATTATATGCACAGATGTCCTCACAAGTAAGCTGGTAGGACCAGTCCACTCTCTCGTAATATAACAGACGGGCCTAAAGAGTAATCAAAGGGAACACTACCCGGTTACAATTTAATAACAAGTGGCATGTGGTAAGATGTTAGCCAAATCATATCTGATCTGCTTGCTATCAATAACTGCGTTGAGCATCACTGGTGCCTTATTACAATGGTCAAGCCAGGATGTTGAGTGCCAGGAGTTCACTAACATATGTAGAAAGCTATCGCTTGGGAGAGAAGAGCCATATGAAAGATCTATGCGGATTCTCAACACAAATTTGCTATTATAAATGATTGGCAAATAGAGATTTTCTCATCATAATCATCAGCTTTCATGTCCCCAACTACAAAGTACAGTGTGGCAGTTAAGGTCTTGAATAAAATAATGCCATTAATCAACAGCCAGACAATTTAGTTATTCATCCTCATGATTAGCCACACTAATAAGGAGTATTTATTTCAGAATGAGAAACTTCCCACGAACTACACTAGAACCTGAGCCCATTGGCCCAGTCAACTCCCACATGAGCACAGTACCTCAGAAAATATTTCGTGTGGCCAAAGTACAGCAAATCCGCTGTAAATTCTGCCTTTATGTAGCTTAGTGCTCAGATCTGTAGTGTGGATTCCCTGCCCCATGGAAGTCCACATGCACAGCGTTATTGGTTTATCCAGATCTGACTCTGGCTAGAAAGTCTCTTGAATACATAAGATATCACAGGTTTGCAGTAGTGAGTCCACTACAGCCCCGACGTTGCAGAGTCTGATTTTCTGTGTCCCGCGCAGCCCTGAGTTTGGCGCCGCATTATATGACACATTGTAAAGGCATGATACAGTTTTTTCGGTTGATAACCGCACCTGCGGCTCCCGCGGCTCCCGCACGGCGGCTCCCAGAACCCGCTAAGGTCCGGCACTACCAACATGCATTCCTCCAGCCCTGCGCGCTTCGTAAGTACCGACGCTCTATGTACCAGCTGGCCAAAGTCAGGTGCGTTACATGCACGAAAGTCATTGCACTCTGCGATGGTGCATGAAACGGAGCTGTTAGCGATTCTGAACAGAGCTGATCTTTCTACACTGTATGTTGTGTGGTCAAGTTTTATCTGCCAAGATAAGCAAAAGTGTATCGGCTTCTACTGCCAGGGTCAAAGGTGTGGCAAATACACTCACCAGTTTAGAAGTTACAGTCCTGTTGGTGATTGCACGGTCCCAGTTATGGCCACTTTTCTTACGCTCTTTCCCGGGGCCGCGTCTACCAGCTTCGGGCAAACTGCTTCACACGGCCGACCCTCTTTGACAACGTAGACACTGACTCATCCTTGACAAAGCAGCTGTATGTTTGAAGGCTGTGTAACCCCTCACAACATAATTTATCCCAGAGGGGTACGAAATAGAGAGTGACCAGTGAGAGTGACAGCAGAGAGAGACCAGAGTGAGAGTGAGAGACCAGAGAGAAAACCCAGAGAGAGTCCTTTAAATAGATAAGATAGATACTTTATTGATCCACGTAGAAGAAATTCAGGTGTCCAGAAGCAGCAACATTCATCCACACAAAAAAAAGAAAAAAAAGATCATTCTAAAAATCTAACAATAGTAATACTAAAATGCAACAGGACTTTAGGTCAGAGCAGCAGAGGGGGAGTAGCCGCTGGGGGTGGAGCAGGACAGGTCACAGCAGCAGAGAGGGAGTAGCTGCTTGGTTCGGACTATTTTCTCTGCTCTAGTCCAAAGTAAAATGCATTCCTCCAGTGATTTTTTTTGCCAGATCTGCTTGGTTCGGATCCTCTCTTGGTTGAATCCTCTCTGCTCCAGTCTGGACCAGTGCAAAACCATGAAAACTGTACAGCAGCAACATCTCAGGTAGAAAAAAATACAGAAAAATAACAATTGTAAAACACAAAACAACAACCTTTTCAGAGCTACAGTACTTAGGACTTGCTGCCGTATCCAGCACATTCAAAAGTAAACAAATAAAGGTTACTGTAATGTTATACTAGCGATTATATGATGTTGTAAATGATCTCTCTCTATTTTCACCTTATGAGCGTCGATGACCACGATGGCTTCTTTCTCCAGAGGCTCTTTGGACCCAATGAGCAGCTTCCCATCGGCGTACCCAACGGCAAACGGCTTATCCTCACTGCACCAGGCAATCTGCATCACCGCCACTGGACACAGGACCCCAAAATCACACAACATGTTCAAAGCATGTTCCATCACTTTATTCTCATAAATAACACATGTTTAAAGCTGGAGTATTAAACAGAGAGAAGAACAGAAGCCATCACATGCCGAAAACTAAGCAATTGGAAAATTTGATTTGTTGGCCAAGCTCTGCCAAATGAGAGTAATAATTTTTACTGCCGCCTTGAACCTCCTGACTTACCCGATTGCTCCGAGCAAGCACCAAGAACTGTAATGTGTGACGAAGAACGGCCCTCCTTGGTGTTTCAGTTGATTGACATGTGGATTAGCCAATCGCAAGTTATTATGTTCCAGGTTGATTGACAGCTAATTCGGGCCAATCAGAAGTTTGTATTTTTTGCATTGAGAGCACTATCATTTGCAGAGTGTTTTTCGGACCTCGTGGTTGTGCTCCGTGTGCGTTATGAAAAAGGGAGAAGTGGTTGGACTGAAGTCACAGAAATGAACCCTGCTTTCTTGTACACTATTATCACATTATCACATGAGTGAACTACAAGGTATATTTTTTAGGCACAGTTGAATGTATGTTCCTTTGTTTTAAGTGCTGCTAAGAGCTAATATGCTAACTGCTGTGTGCTAAATGTTAATGGTGTGCTATTCTCGTGTACATAATGTGTTTGTTTAAGTAGCTCATTCTAATTTAGTCTTTCTTTCTGTAATTGCAAGACCACACACACACACACACCACGTAGATATAGATAACTGCTGTAAATCAGTGTTGCAACTAAGAACTTTAACCTCTTAACACCCACCTCATTTTAGGCTAAAAAAACAATTTTTTTAGCCTAAAATGTTCAATTTCTAAAGGCCCTAAAAAAGGCATACTTCATTGTAAGTTCAGAATATTCAAACCCTATAGTCATTGTGTTGTTGACAACAACTGTATAAAGTTTCAGACTTCTAAGTTGTATGGTTTTTATGCAGTTTCTCCTTTTCATCAAGTAGCGCCAAAATGCTTTACTGACATTTCATCATCATAAAAACCATATTTTTTATTATTGGTACTTATAAGTTACTAATTAAATTTTTTATGAGCGTAAAATTATTGCGGCTTTGAGCGTCTTTTGGCTGCCATTACGCACAATTCTACAGGCACAAAATAAAACAGTACACCATTGTCCCACCTCTTAATAGAAAGCTTTCCTCATTGGCTACACGGACATGTCAATCAAACGGCCAGGAAGTAGATGCAAAGCAGTCTGGAGATAACAAAGCTCAGGTCACCTATGCGCAACGAGCAGCCGCTAGCAGTACTACCGGGAGATGTTACAGACCTAAAACAGCTCGTAGAGATTCATGGAAGGTTCATTTTAACACGTGGATACTATTTTTTTGGGAAACACAAGTAGATACTATTTTTAATTGGACTGTTCCAGAGAAAAAGAGCCATAGGAAGCTGGCCGGAGAGCTGATTTATTTATGCAGCACAAGCCCAAAGGTAAAAAACTTTTTCTGAAGTGATTTATTTTGGGCTCATATTATATGTTATATCTTTGGAATGCAAAGTCTGATGTAGTTTACACTTGTATATAAATGTAGATAAGAAAATAAGCTTTAAAATGACATACAGCTTTTGGGGTTTGGTGTTCAAAATACATCTGCTACTGCCAGCAGGATATTTTAAAAATAAAAACGGCTCGCCGGTGCATGTAAAGAGGTTAATAAACCAAACTGGATCATCTCTAAGAAGTGCATTCTTACCGATGCCCCCTGGTGGTCACAATGCCACCTTACAAACCAGATAAACTTGCTAATCCCTTGCTAATCCCAGTTACAAAGAAAACTCCTGTGAAATGTTTCAATAACGTCCTGTAGCCCTCACGTCTATTGTAATTAAGACATTTAAGAGGCTTGTGTTGGACTTCAGTTCAAAATAACTCATCCCTTGGTTTGGTCAGATGTTGTTTCTGTGAGCACCGGACCCCCTCAAGGAAATATTTTGAGTCCTTTGCTTTTTACATTGTACACTTGTGACTGTGTGTCTTCCTCTGACACCTGATCATGAAATATGTTGATGAAAACACCATCGTTGGTCTCATCAGTGATAAAGATGAATCCTCTTACAAAACAAAAATCCAAAAAGTTCAGTGAAGACAAAAATACAAACCAGAAAGTTCATCAGCGTCTCTTCTTTCTGGGAAACTTAGAGAATTTACTACAAATTGCAGCAATGGCAGCAGAGACCTCTAACACAATTTGTTAAGCCCATAGTTTCAAACCTGAAAATGGATGCTGATTGTAAATTTGATAAACAAATAAGTGCAGTAGTGAAGTCCAGTTTCTTCCATTTAAGGCAACTTGGTAAAATAAAGTCCTCCCTTTCAAGGCAAAATTTTGAAATTTTGATTCACGCTTTTGTTTCGACTCGGCTGGACTATTGTAACGCCTTGTACACAGGTATCAGCCAGTCCTCACTTGCTCGTCTGCAGCTGGTACAGAACGCTGCGGCACGTCTGTTAACAGGAACTCGGAAGTATGAGCATATCTCTCCGGTCCTGTCGTCCCTTCATTGGCTTCCTGTTAGCTACCGGATTGATTTTAAAGTTCTTTTGTTTGTCTATAAATGCCTGAATGGCCATATCTGTCTGACCTACTGACGTCATACGCTCCATCACGTTCTCTCTTAGGTCGGCATATCAGGCTCTGCTCTGGGTTCCTCCGACTTAACGGAAACTCGGAGGAGATTGAGCTTTTTCGGTTGTTGGTCCTAAATTATGGAATGAGCTGCCCCTGTGTGTGAGACTGTCTGAGTCACTTCCTGTTTTTAAGTCTTGTCTTAAGACTCACTTGTTCTCATTGGCTTTGCATTGATTTTCAATTGATTTTTTTGTTTGCTGTAAATTGTGTTTTTTTTTGCCATTGTTTTGTATGTTGTAATTGTATATTTGTGTATGTATTTTTTATGTTATGAATGGATTGGATTTAAATTCTAAGATTCTACTTAAAGGAGCTATACCCGTTTCTGCAAGGTTTGAATGTTTAGCACCGCCTCCCAACTTGCTCAGAGGCTTCTCATTTCCACTAAGCGGAGCCTTCAAGTTGGTTAGTTCTATGTGGTCCGAGCATAGATAGTCCGAGCATAGATAGTCCGAGGCGGTCCCGCAGGTCTCTCCCATAGACAAGTCTCTCCAGAGGATACGATGTAAGCTAGCTACAGTGGGGCAAAAAAGTATTTAGTCAGCCACAGATTGTGCAAGTTCTCCCACTTAAAATAATGACAGACGTCTGTAATTTTCATCATAGGTACACTTCAACTGTGAGAGACAGAATGTGAAAAAAAAGGATTGGATTTTTAAAGAATTTATTGGTAAATTATGGTGGAAAATAAGTATTTGGTCACTTCACAAGGAAGATCTCTGGCTCTCACAGACCTGTAACTTCTTCTTTAAGAAGCTCTTCTGTCCTCCACTCGTTACCTGTATTAATAGCACCTGTTTGAACTCGTTATCTGTATAAAAGACACCTGTCCACAGCCTCAAACAGTCAGACTCCAAACTCCACTATGGCCAAGACCAAAGAGCTGTCGAAGGACACCAGGAAAAGAATTGTAGACCTGCACCAGACTGGGAAGAGTGAATCTATAATAGGCAAGCAGCTTGGTGTGAACAAATCAACTGTGGGAGCAATTATCAGAAAATGGAAGACATACAAGGCCACTGATAATCTCCATCAATCTGGGGCTCCACGCAAGATCTCATCCCGTGGGGTCAAAAAGATCATGAGAACGTTGATCAAAAATCCCAGAACCACACAGGGTAACCTGGTGAATGACCTGCAGAGAGCTGGGACCAAAGTAACAAAGGTTACCATCAGTAACACACTACGACGACAGGGAATCAAATCCTGCAGTGCCAGACGTGTCCCCCTGCTGAAGCCAGTGCATGTCCAGGCCAGTGACGTAGGCACATTAGGGCCAGGGTGGTCCCAGGCCCGCCCACTTTTTTGATTGGACCAGGACCTGGCCCTCCCTGAGAAAGCTTGCATGATTTTTCTCACAATTTTTTTTTATGATTTATACTTTTGTTCACTTTTCAAAAAAATGCTTAACATTGACATTCAAACCAAAGCCTTTAAAAATGTTTTCATAAATGATTAGACGTTCACACGCCGCGCCTCCTCCTTGCCTCCACAGCAGCAGCAGCACGTGACTCTCATCTCTCTGCTGTGATGGGCTGTCTTCCACCTGCACTTAAAATAGCGAGGCGCCAAACTCTACGAGTAGCTACTGTTTACTTTCAGTAAAGTCCGTCTGGGAGCCCTTTCTGAAGAGTGATCAGTGAAGCCGTGTAGCCAGTGTCAAGACACGCGTTTCCCCTGAGCCTTGTAAAATGTGAGTAATCAGAGAAAATCAGAGACATAACAGACTCCATTTGAGAAACAGGGGGTTTAAAGGCTGAAACAATACTTCCAGTGTTCCTCCACTCTGTGTGACAGTCAAGACTCTTGTCTTCTATATTGAAATTTTTTTTGCTTCTGCAATGTCACTGATGGGCTGTTCCCAGATGCGTGCGTGCGCAATCGCGCTGTTCTTTTGGGGTCTTATTATAAAACATCCATGGTCTCAGCGCACAGAGAACTCTGTCCTGCACAAAATAATAACAGCGTCCTGAGCCGCACAAACGACGCAGCCGCGTGTTTCTACAGTGTATGGAGCGCAGTGAATCTGCGCGGTCAGGCCCCACTCAAAGTCAGAGTCAGAGCTCTCTGTCTGTGACGATGAGGAACACTGTCTGCGAGTGCGGGAGAGGTGCCCAACGCAGAAGTCTGAAGCTGCGTTTGATCCAGAACAGAGCTAGGACCAACCTCACTCTGCACACCGTGAACTGCACCTGGTCTGGCCGCGGACTCGCGAGCAGTCTCACAGGCGCTACACTAGCTGCTGTGGTGTGTGCGTGGAGCTACACATACGCACACGCACACACACACACATGAGGGGAGACTTGAGTCTGAAGAACAGGAGTCC